GTCTCTGTACCTCAGTTGGTAGTAGTGCCCAACTTGTATCTTGGAGGCTCTGCGGGTTCTAATCCTTTCAAAGTGACACAATGTCAGTCGACGAGAAACAGATTATTTGGTAGCACTAATTGTCCGTGATTCCTTTAAAGAACAACCTTTGGAACCAGTTGTAGATGTTTCAAGTAAGTTTAACATCTCAGAGAAAAGATCATTCCTTTAATTATTCTTTTTAAAATTGTAGAAGTTCCTGGAATGGTCACGAGCATCAAACTCTGAATAACTCTCACTAAAATGGCGAAGAAAGATTATAAAGAAATAAATAATTAGAGTCTCATCCTATATCTTACATGTACGTCTTTTTTAATCTTATAAAGGTGGACGCAGTGCTCGTGAAAAACCCCCAAAATGAATTCAAGCTGTTGTGTCTAAGGCGGCTCGTAGAAGGGTAACATGCCATGTTTCTTCACATGTCCATTGAAGAGAATCGTCTGGAAAGCTGACTCAAAATGGCTCTTTAAACGTTCCAGTTTCGTCTTATCACACAGAACACTGCTGAGTGCTGACCTCGCCTTTCAGTAAAGGAAGAAGCCTAACAGGCAACGGGCCCTTGAGGCTCTGACTGCTCCACGTGATCGGCTGGGCCTGCACAGAAGGGAGGGAAGCAGTTCCATGCCCTCTCTGGCAGACATTAGGGGGTTTAAGAAAACCGCAACAGGAACGAGAACGTCACTAAATAAAAGGTTTAATGAGCAGAACAATGGCTGTGCACGTGCGTTAAAAATTTTTGTAAATTTTTCTGCGTCTTCTGAAAAACAACGGTGAAACGTAGGCTAGGGTTCGCTACATCGAAAACCTCGATTAAACGAATTTGCGGGAAAAAAACCAAAATGTTCGTTATATCGAGCATTAATAGTTTTTTTGGATCGGAACGATTATTGTAAATAAAATTTGTGCTTTAATGTCTATATGAAGCTACGATAGGCTGTACAGGTCTGTGCATAACTACAGCACCCTGTTTTTAAAGCACGGAGGACAAATCTCATTGGAAGTCACTGGCAAACGGAGAAACAAGGGTAGTGGACAGGAAATTCCTGCCTCTGATACCTTTAACTGCAAGAAGCCTTCAAAAGAAAAGAGGTTAAATTCAACTAATTAGACCTAATAAGAGACAAGGAGGACAAAGCGGATCTGTAGATGTGTCAATAGTGTCAGTGTCGGCATTTGTGGGATTTATGATAATCATAAATCTCGTTCTTTTGTCATTGCGTCAGTGGCCATCTCAGAATTTCCAATTATACAGACGCAAATGCAGTAGCCATTAAGTCCTTGCGTCACTGGCTTTAATTTATTATGGTTGGTAATAATATATACCAGAGCTCGAAAGCTCATTGGCTACTTTGGTCACTGTACACGATTAAATATTCTTTCTTCTAGCTAATTTCTGTTTGTATTTTTTCTATATCATTGTAAATCATGTTAAGTTATTTTTTCTGTAAATAGTGTGAACAAATAATAAAGTATGAAAAAGTGTGAAGTGTAGCGCCCGACAACCTTAGTGGCTTCAAGAAATGCTCGTATGAAAAGACGAACGAAATTACGAATTTCGTCGTTATCTTAACGCCGTCGACATTTATAATAAGCTGTGAACTGTGACGCTGTTCTATTGTTACAGAATTGAAGGATTTTGATTCTTGTTGGTCTGTTTCGCATTTGTCTCTTGTCACGTGTTGACATTT